ATGCAACCTTAGTTCCAACCTACCCTTTTCTCCCTCCCTCCTCTCCTACGCTTCGCAGACACCAAGCTTTCCGCCCGTCCTTTCTAGGCTGGAATTCGATATCAACTCCTAAGGGACCGCATATAGAAATCGAGGCGCGCACAGCGAATTCTGGCGATTTTCGTTGCTTGATGATTAAGGTTTTGTTTACCGATTTGCAGAAATTTTTCGAATTCATGTATGACGTTGATAGAATACTGTTTCCCCTACTCGCTCATATGCTTTGGCTCAGGTAAATGTGCTGTGGATAAAGAAAAACGCTGGCTTACTACACGTTCATTTTGAATTCAGCATCCATCAAGTGTAGTGAATTGCACGACTTATATTGCAATAAAAAGTAGAAATTGAGAAACAGTGAGTAGTTTATCAAAATGATGATGCATGCTGTATGTATACCAGTTCAGCGATAACTTTCACTAAAGCTCAGTTTATATCAGCCATTCGTTTTCTTTCAATTATTAAGAGTTGACGCATGTGAGAAAATACCGACAACTTATAGATAACGGAGGGATTGTGAGCGTGGAGGCGCAATCGTGCTTGAGTAACAGCTTGGAACATTGGTATTTTGCAAGCTATTGGCCAGAAATATGTGTCTCCTATGAAGTATTCCGGGTACTTCTTTCCGATCCGCACCGATATTCAAGAAACACATTTTTTATTACTCTCAAAAGTTTTAGTAATTATATAACCGATATCACCAATTCCAAAAAATTCAACGAGAAAGCTAGTAAAGGATGAAGCTCTCGGCGTAGATCAATCTCAGAAGGATGCGCCATGCATTCGTCTCTAATTTTCAGCTTCGTTTGAGTTGATTGAATGCCTATCCGGCCCTTAAAATGACTCGCGATGGCCTCTCGCTCTACCGCGTCAGTACTGCTTCTCCTCCCGAACAAGCTTGTTACAAATATGCCGGTACCGCGGAGGGTTTATAGATCTTAAGCCGTGAGTGCGAGGTGGAACTATCGACTTCGTGTGCGACGTAAAGCACCTCTGACTACTGCGTCAAAGTCGCACTGACTTTGATGATATGCTTGATTTTTGAGAAGAAGGACGTTTCAGCGCGTTGTTACAACTAAAATAATACTGAGTTTCGTATTCGGTGCCGTGTCGATCGCGCGGCGCAATTTATACGTGGCGTGCTATGCATACCAAGTGCAAAACGCAATATTCTTTTGCTGTAACAACACACTAAGAAGTCTTCCTCAGAGAGCAAGCATATTATTGAAATAGTTGATATTTACGTTGTTGAATGGGTATGAAAGAATGAGAAAAAGCCGTGTCCAGCGGTGAGTACTCAAATACGCAGCACATTTTTGTTCTTGCTGCTACAGCTTGCTAAGGGGCTTCTTCCATAAGGCGAGCATAGGAATGTAATCCTCGAGATTTAAGTTAACGACTGATCAAAGAAAGGAGAAGTCTCTATGCCAATGTTGCGACATCCATTCACATATCGGTGTAAGATATACGACGCATATGGAATGGAATCAAATTTCAGTGATACAGCGCAATAAAAATTTTTATTGGAAAGCCAAAAACGCTATTAAGATTGTCGAAATTTGTTCTTTCGAATAATTTCTGAATTCTATGAGGAAGAGCTTTGGTCACTGAAAAATGCTTGAGTGGGAAATGAAATTTCCTCTTTACTCTTTCAGCATAATACAAAGGCCTTTCGAAGAACAAAATGCATCTTTATTTTCGAAATTCAAGCTATGGAATGACTGCTATGGTACCAAGAAAAGAAAATATGCTTTAATAAATAAAGGCACTGATAGCGGAACTACCGTATTTTCCCCAAAAACAAACACGCGCTCTTACTACACTTACTCCAGCTACATACTGTGATTACCTCACATAGATCTCTATCAGTGGTGTTTGCTTGTATTAGATATACCTTCAAGCTACGTTGTTGCAAGACAGACGATGCAAATGCGCAATAAGGGTGGAACTTTGTTTAATTCATTACAAGGATGTGATATTACGGTTGAAAATGAAGGATTGCAGCCGTTTCTACTTATCAAAAAACCTTCACATAAGGTTCATCAGTAATTTTTTTAATTTTTACATAACGATAAGATGATTAATTACCAATAAAGCACTTATAACATCCAAGCGGCGGGATAACATTTTAGGCGTGAAATGGAATATTCCTTTCGCTCTCACAACGTTCTATGATACCCTTCTATAGAAATCAATTACATCCTCAAGATTCTCGAGATTTGGGCTATCTAATTTGAAAACTTGTTAAATTTTAGCGAAGAGCCGTATCGAAGCCAAAGCAGAGTAAATGAAATACTTGAGTGTGAAACATAATTTTATTTTCGCTGCTACAATGTAACAATGAAGACTTTTTCAGAAATCAAACATATCGTGGAAGTCGTAGAGATTGAAGCTTCCGAAAGATTACTAAATGTCTGAGAGATTAGTAAATGTCTGAGAGCAAACTTTTATTCGAAATTTCTAGTATTTTACTGCATTTTTCGCAGTGTTACGATCAATCATATATTCCTAAGAGAGTTGATTGGTGAGCAAAAACACGGCCTCAGGGGAGAATCGGACCCGCGTTTCGTCCTAACCGAGGATATTCTCTTCCACGACACCACCGATTCACATTTGCGCCGCCACTCATTCTTCAGCATCTTTGTGCTAGCTATCGGCCCCCAACTTTTTAACAGGTTCGGTCGAGTATGCGATTTCGCTTCATAAACCACGCGCGCCCCCAGAATGGACGAAACGCGGGTTCGATTATCGCTTTAGGCCGTGTTTTTGCTCACTTCTCAATTCTCTCAGGAATATATGAATGATCGTAATACTGCGAAAAGATGCATCAAAATACCAGAAGCTCAACTAGATTTTTAAAACAAAATCGCATACCCAACCATACCTGTTAAAAAGGTCGGTGGCTGATATTTAAAATAAATATGTTGAAAAATGAGTGGTGGCGCAAGTGTGCCTTGGTGGTGAAGTGCCAAAGCACGCGTCCTCGGATAGGATGAACGCGGATTCGATTGTCGCCTGAGCCGTGCTTTAGCTCATCACTCAACTCTCTTAGAAAACTTTTATTCAGCGAGAAAGGCCTTCAAAGTCGTGACCATATTTGGTACATGTGGTTCCTTAAGGCTTAAGCTTAAGAAAAAGGTTAAAAGAGCGCTTGTTACCTCCAACGTGAGAACGCTCTGCAAGACTTTGCGGACCTCGAAAAGAATCATTTTGACTAGTGCTCAATAACATTCATGACGTAACGTCGAAGAAATAAGTAGACAGGTAGCGATTATTACCACGTGCCCAATTCTTTGCAACCTTCGTGAACACTAGTTGAGAGAAAACGAGTCGAAAGTGAGAAGTACTGGGAGTGTGTCATATGTTGCGCAAGATTTATATTTCACTATACAGATAAAGGACCTTGCTAGATCTCATGGCACAATTTAGGCAACGCTACTATGGCAAAGGTAGATGTTTTAGGACAATGTAACTCATATAGCAGTCATTAAGGCAAATAACAGTTATTTTTTCTTATCTCCTATGCTCTTGACCATCAATCTATCTAATTACAGATAATCGCTATGGCTATTCATTGCGCAGTAGGTCATACCAGCCGAGTCATGCTTCTCACACTAGCTGGCCGATGCATTCGAGCAACAGTAGCCAGCTTCTGTTTCAAACACCGGCCGGCTGTGTGTCTACGGAGAACAAAACCTCGTGCCTTTCAGTTGACAACCAACAACTCTTTCCCATTCAATTTGGGCAGTGCTGTGCTTCACAGCTATTCACAGTTTGAACCGAAGCGAAATCGGAATATTGGAAAAGAGTCACACCCACAGCAATCCATTAGTCTACAGACGCTACTTGGAGCTCGGCTGCAACTTCCACCTCTCTTGACTTTATAATGTGCGGTCATAGCGTACTGTAGTTCATGTCGATGTAAACTGCCTGTGTATATAGTCACTATTCCTTACAATTTATAGTTCTTCTCATTCATCTAGAGATCTGGGGCTCAGGCATCTTGCACCTAGGCTCAAATCCATTACATCATCAATTGTTAACATTGCGTTACATGTTGTGATTGTTGTTTCTTCAACTGCAGTTATGTTGTAATTGTTTTTGTCATAGGCTATTCGTTGTAGCGATCAATATGGCTCGTTGGCCTCAGGATCTCAACACTGTCCTTCATTCAATGAATAGTAAAAGACCCGCGTGGCAGGAATAATCAAAGAAATCGAGTGATCCAACGGGCACACAGCGCACACTAACTCGCAATAAGCACCAAAGCCTAACTACTCTAGTACATTCAAAGCAACCTCAACTGAAAAACCATTACAACTCACAAGGCACGGAACCTATCTCTTTTTTTTTGCCCATGCACTTAAAGAAGACGTTAAATAGGAGGCCTCTTTTCCATTACGTACATTTTGATATACTGTGCCGTGACAACCCGGCAACATCTGAGTGTGTTGATTCAATGCTTACTTCAGAAATTGTTACTTGGAGGATTTGTATCTTACGAGTGGTTTTTACCGTCTTCGTGCCGACCTCCTCAGGTAGTCCGTTATTCTGCTTTCTAATCGGTTTCAGTTGATCTCCACATTCCGCAATGATCGCGTAGCGCCATTAATAATCATAAAATTAAGCCTAAGTTCTACTTCCAGGCCAAATTTTGAGGGTTTAACAATAAAGTTGATAACGATTTGATTTCGGACAGAAATAAACTTAGTATGCTTGACACTGATTTCCTCTGTTTCAATTTCCAGTTCTTCTGATTATAAAGGAACAAATCAAAAATCGATCACATTCGGTGGAGAGGAAATTTACTTAGGTGTATTAGTAAATGTTAGTAACCATTCAAAAGCTGAGACTTGAGTCTACAATCCCACGTCGCCTATTCTTCCTAACATTCCTTTATGACATTGTAACACTCAAAATAATGTCGTGTTTCCTCGAAGATGTAGAGTGATGTGCAAAACTTTCGCATCAGGCGGGACTCGAGCCCTCATCTCACTCTATCATGGAGCGCGTGCTCTAACCAGCTGCACTACTGACGCTCATTTTGCACACCATTCTTTCTACGCAACAATGCGTCTATCTGTCAGCCTCCAACCGTCAATGGCCTGATCCGATTAGTCAGAATCGACATTGAACCCAGTCACGCTGACAGATATTGGGCATAGGTATAGATAGAGGTAGCAAAGTGGACGTTAGCAGCACAACGGATTAAGCACGCGCTTCCGAATATAGTGAGATATGGGATTGAGTCCCGCCTCACGCGAAAGTTCTACACATCACTTTACATTACCACCGCTAAAAGCGATCAAATAAAAGAATTCCATTTGACCATCAAAATCATGCATCATGAAACTACGTGTTTTTTTTTTCTCTTACCTTGTTTATATTTCGCTGGACAAAACGCCTTCCTCAAGTGTTAGTGTTAGAATTTGACACAAGCTTCAAGAGATTCGAAAATATATTTGCTTTTCAAAAAGCTTTTTTGATCTTGTAATCTGCTCTTGTCTTTGATTTTCCTTTTGTTTCTCCTTGAACAGAGCTCTTTCTCTAAACTATTAGTAATCATCTGATGGCTTAATGTTTCCTGATTCTAGCATGCACATATTTTCTGGAAATACGGTCAGAGAAAATAAGATCAAGTTTTAAATTTTTGGTAACGTTGTTCAAAAAGATAGAGAGTCGTGATAGAGAACGTGGAAAAAGGCACAACTGTCGCCGTCTAACATATAAGTACCGAAAATTTTTACTTCACATTCACAGCATAATAAGAACCATTTGAAAAATTAAACACACTTTCATATTCTCGATGTTCAAGCTGCCGAATAACTACTGAAATTTTGATAAGGATTAAAAAGTACTTTTTTGAATATGGGTGCGGATAGGGGAAAAGTACCGAGAATACTTCTTTGGAGACACATATTTCTGACCAATAGTTTGCATAATGCCGATGTTCTAAGCGTTTTCTTCAAACACGGTTATTCTTTAGCGCTCGGAATTCTTCCACTGTCATAAGTTCTCAACCTTATCTCGTTAATCTCAACTCTGAATAACTGGAAATGAATGAATGATTGATATAAACTTAATTATAGTGAAAGTCCTCGTTGAGCATTTATTGAATACAGCAGGCATAATAATTTTTGATAAATTACTAGCTGTTCACCAATTTTATTTACTATGATGACTCTTGGGTCTTGTATAAAACTCGGGAAGAGCACAACTAAAAATCTTCATTGTGATTCCTTTTGTACAATGCAATATAATTGATTGAATGCTAAATTCAATACGATTGTGTAGTAAACGAACTTTTCTCTCTACACAAGACGCGTATAACTAAGCCAGAAGCATATGAGTGAGTAGAGAATATTCTATTCTATCAAGATAATACAAGAAATCCGAAAATTTTCGCCAAACAAAGAAAAAAAACTTCAATCAAACAACAAAAATCGCGCAATTCACTTTGAGCGCATCGATTTCTATAGCCATTTGTTAGGTGTTAAACAAAGGTTTGATAGGATTTTTCGTCAACAATTGGACCCGTTTCGTCTATTGAGCGGCTATGCTATAAATCGTAGTGGAAGCAAGTAAGTTTGGACTCTTTGGTGAACCCTTTTTTCCTATTGATATGATAGAGGCCCATTAAAAAGCTATACTTTTGAGATTTAGTTCCAGCGATCTATTGATAAAGTTCTTATGCAGGACTGGTCCACTCTTTGAGAGACAACCCCTGATTGAGCCACATTTCCTTCGACGCTGTCAAAATCTTTCTAATGATCGACTAAAGTCGGGACTAGAAGATGGTGATATTACTGGTAGACTTTTAACGCCTTGAATACAGTCTGAATATGGTTCACTCAACCGAAACTTTGTATGTTCAACTGCGTCCTATTCCATGTTGTCCATAAGTGCAATAGTATAATCTTCGTAAAATGATCATGAGGTACATTCATCAGGCATATGAGATAATAACTAAGAAGATTCCTTCGATCACTCTTCCGCACAGGGAGGCCTGAGGGTAAAGTTCTCACCTATTCTGTGGGTTTTTTATGTGGCTCAAGTAGTACTCCATCATTTCGATACACTGAAAAACATCAAATTTCAGGGTAAATGATCAGTACTTACTCAGATTAGCAAACTTGAGATTTTTTCTGATCGTCCTTGCAATGTGAGTGGTCGTTGTCGCATTGAGTTGGAGCCAGTGAAAGTCGGATTGTTCTAATTATACTGATCTACCTTTCTTCCTACGGTGTCGCTGTTTTTTGTGATTGCTGCCATTCCATTCTGATTTGGAGGCCAATGGAACCTGCAGCGGTCGACATTCCATAGCTGGCACACAGCATAGTTTACGATATAAAATTACCACCATTAAGGCTTCTACGTTAATGTTTGTTGTACAATAGATTCGATTTGCCAAGCGACGCGGAATATTGTCGATATATAAGAAGGATATGTCCGTGACGTTTCCATAATATTTAACAAACCATACGAAGTTCTCGTTACAAAATAACACAAAGAAAACACGATGCCATGACATTGTTTGCTGATCTGCTCTATTCTTGAAAAATGTTGCATAGTGACGACTGTAAGAGATGTCAATACAAAGAGCGTTCACTGAGTTCAGTTTTATGGAAAAGAAGATATGCAAACAAACGCCTATAAAATACTGTTGTCTTGGAATTGAGAACTTTGCGATATATAGAAGACAAAACCTGATCAAAATGAAGGATGTGACTTAGTAAGATGCTCAGCGCAACTTATCACTAACCCTTTACAACATATGACAATCCACAGACATATGGCCACTATTCAAAGAGAGACTTAATCTGGATCTTTCCGTGTAAAGCGGATTCGTTCACTGGCACTGACCATCTTTATAATATTTGACGATGTCATCAATGTGAAATTGGTTCTGGTTGTGGATATCTTCACAAAGTTTGCACAATGCATTCCCTATGTAGACTATAGGTTTGCGATAACGCGTTGTCCATTCGAAATATCTCAATTGCATCAGATCAAATTACTTATAAATAGTTCATATCCTTTATCTTTAGAAAAATCAAAATGATACTATTATTTGTTCTCTATAATAATTTTGTGCAACTGTCTTGAATACTTAGTAGACACAACAAGACAAAAAATCGTCTATGTCAAGCAATGATTTCATTTAACCGTTATTTTACACGTTGGAAAATCCATTTTTCAACCCCAATTCTGCTGCAGCTTAGCTCGTAGTTCTGGCTGTGTACAGTCATGCACTGATCTTAGAAATTTTTTTTCTTTTAACACTACCCTTCACCACATTTTGGTGCGTGGCTCCTATCACCTTTGTATTCGAATAGTCGATCATCTTTCACAAGGTCTTCGAAAATTTTACGTGTTACTTCGGCTTCTGCTTGAGAATTTTGTTAAAATGTCGTAGAATCCATAACGGAATATTCGTTTTGCAATCTGGAAAGTAGCCAGACTAAGGTGCTTCAACGAGCTTTTCGCTCATCACTTTGCTTATTGATACATCATCAATCACTAACCGCTGCGTTTACCCCGTCTCATATTTAGAATACAGTTTGAATTTTAGCTCTACTGTGCATCGCGGATCGTCACGTTGGAGTACATCATCGCAATGCTTACTCACTTAGATACTTAGGTGGTCCGTCTTCACTAGTTGTGCGGACCCTAGCACCTATTCCAAATGGTATATTGCTGGTCGTGCTTTTGATAATCCGGTTTCTTGGTGTAATCTCGCAAGGGCTTCTTCAGGTCTTCATAATGTCGTTTTCAAGAAATGGGTTTCGATGACGGATAGTTGAACGGGCTTCTTACTAGTTCATTCGGAGATGGTGTTAGACCGAAATCAAAAACAAAGGTAGAAATAAACCGACGGCTCACGGATGATGTAGAAGCCAAAATCCATCATCGCAATGTGAGATGAGAAATCATTCAGCAGGAGGCAATAGTCATGAGAGTGTTAGAAGTTGGAAGGTTTTGCCACTACCACTTATTTAATAGCCCGTTATTGCATTCCGTAAATGTTCAGCACTTTTTTTCCTTTTTTTGATATACCTGCGCGCATGGAAGTGATAGGTCCAGCGCATGTGGTGTCGATCATTGAGGCTGGTCTTTTTCCATATTGTTGTATCAAAGTGTAAGTAAACATTATTTGTCTCAAAACAGCGAAGGATATCGTTGTCGAGCGCCTTTAGCCCACAAAAACGAGCCCCAAGGCCAGCGGTAGGTCTGCTGCCTCATTACTTCAATTCCTTGAGGACAGTTATAATGTGTAATCTACTAATTGCTTCCACACGCTTTAATAAAAGCTTTTGTTAGAGCGTTTTTTTTCAGGAATTTGAATTTTTTTATACGCAATAGTGTAGAGTGCTGTGCGAAAACATCTGTGTCATAAGGGATTCGACCCTCGATCTCACTCCCTCCGAGAGCGTGTGCTGAATTGTTGCATCACCGACGCTCGTTTTGCACAGCACTCTTTCTACGCTCTTTTTATTTAGTTGCATCCTATAGGTGTTCCTGTTCTATCCGGCCACCGATCAAGCAGCTGGTGGACGAGAAATGTTAACATCATCAGCACCGTACTTTTTTGACCTCACAACCTTACAAAAATAATCCAAAGTAAAGCGAAGTTTGCATAACAAAACAAAGTTGTAAACTAAAACTCACTCCAAGTACTTAGTGTCGTTTAGTCGTAGATCAGTGAGATGATCCGCTAACTCTTTCATGCTTCCAAAGTCATCGAGGCAATGAACGATCCGCTTGGGATTCCGGCATCTTAATTATGCTGTTCTCATCTCTTCCTTTCTTCTTCTCTTCCGCCGGCACTTTCAGAATCAAATCTTGCTTTTTAATGGTAAAAATGACACAGTTTCGTAGCACACCTTCGTAAACTCGTCTCACTGCAACGATTGGTATAAGTATTTGAGAGGCTCGCATGAAGAATTTCTCTGTGATGTAGTCATTACAAATACTGTTCTCGAATGATATGTAGAATCGGTGAGTTGCTGAAAAAATTAGGTTAAGAATATGGTAAATA